AACAGCCACTGGAAGGGCCGCGCTGCCTGCCAAGGACAGCCCTGCCCCCAGACTCTGGCGGCCCAACCACTCCTTTACCTCCCGTCCCTCTGAACGGGAACAGGCCCCAGAATCCAGGACTGAGCCCTTGCCCCGCCTGGATCCCTAGCCAGCATTCCGGGAGGGGAGAGGAAGTGGTCAGAAGCTTCCACGTGGGGGCGCTGGAAGGGCGCCGGAAAAGCTGAAGCTGGGCTTCGGTGGCATCTTCGGGTGAAGTCCACATCGCCGCCTGACGGCTGCTCTGCCCTGGCGTCCCCACGAGGCAACCGCTACCCCTTTATGGATCCCCTGCTCTCTCGGCCCTGCCACTCCCGGCTCTCTCCTGCTCGCGTTCCTCAGTCAAGGTGAAAGAGCACCGAGCGGCAGACAGGCCTGGGTTCGAATTTCGATTCTGCCACTTGACAGCCGGCGGCCCTATCCAAGGCCGCACTCAGCCTCCCCACGCTGCCTCCGACTCTGGACAGAGTGGGCGCTCAGGAAACGTCAGCTTCCTGGCCGCATCCGCCCTCATCTCGCATTTCCCTCTTCCCGGTTCTCCTTTTTTTTTTTTTTTTTTATTGCTTTGTTTTAAATCCCTCCCTCCCGCGCCCTTTCTCTTCTGGGCTCCCCAATCTTAGCCAAACCGCAGCCTTTAGCAATCCAGCGCGCCCACCCGGCGCCCCGGGAGCCTCGCCGCGGCCGCGACCCGCCCCGCGGCCAGGCTACCAGCCCGCGCCCCACATCGACGCCCCCAGCCCCGCGCCAGCCCCCTCCCGGTAGCCCCGAGGTGGGGTCGCCCCTAACCACCCGGGGGTCGGCCCGTCCCTAGCGGGCCGTGGCGCCCCTGCGCGCCCACTGCTCGGGCGCGGGGCGAAGAGGTACGCACCGGCCCGGGCCGTGCCCGGGTGGCCCAGGGCACCGGGCGGGGCGGCGGGCTCAGCCGCCAGGACTGCCAGAGCCAGCCTGACCGCAGCCCGAGGGCGACGCTGCAAATAGCCGCGGTTTCCAGCCCTTGCCCTGCCTCCCTCTGGGCCTTCCGGACCCTTGGGGTTTTCTCTCCCTTCCTCTATTCCCTTCTCCTTTCTGCCCCTTGACCCCTGCCTTGTCCCCGCTCTGCGTCAGCTACATCCTGCCCCATGCATGGTGGCTCCTGCTGGGGAGCCGGAGAAAGTCCCGGGCTCTGCAGGTCTACTGATCTATTAGGTTAGGATTAATTGAGCACCTGCTGCCTGCCAGTCTCCGCGTTGAGCACTAGCAGGCAGGAATTTGTGAAATCTTTACATGTCATATGAGGGGCAGAGCATCTCCAATTTGCAGATGGAGAAACTGAGACTTAGATACTCCTTAGGGGCTAAAATCGCCCCATTTGCATTGTGGAATGGGAGGCCATCTCCCCTTCCACAGGTCTATGCCTAGTTATGGGGTGGCAGTGGAAGGTGGGAAGGAGTGGTCAGAGGTCCTGGAAACTGGTTTGCCAACTAATTCTCAGTGTAACCTAGAGTAAGCCTGGCTTGCCTCTGTTTCCACATCTGTGAAATAAAGGGAATAGAAGGTAAAACTTTGTTCTAAGAAAGAACTTGTTAACAATAGTGGAAAGCCCAAAATGGAATGTGAGGCATTAGGCGTCCTGCCCCTGAGAGATTCATTGGAAGGCTGGATAACTGCCTCCCTGGAGTGTTGTGAAGAAACCACAGGCCAGGACTGGCTGTGTGGGAATTAGGCTGAGTCTCGGAATCTGCATTTTAGCAAATGCAGGAATCTGAAACTACCTGGTTTGGAACCCACCAAATAGTTTCCTGGGCCAGGTATGGTGGCTCCTGCCTGTAATCCTAGTACTCTGGGAGGCTGAGGCAGGTGGATTGCTTGAGATCAGGAATTTTTTTTTTTTTTTT